TGTTTATATTTATGGTAGATTGTAATACATGTACAAAGGAGATTTATCTGTATTAATTTATGAAAATTTCTAAATTGAGCTTGAAAGTTGAAGTGGCTTCAATTGTTAGAAAATTAAGATTCTTTTTAATATATTATTTATAATGCTTGTAATTATAATTTTTAATCTTTTATATTTAATTGGTTGCAGATTTGGATTATTTTATTCTATTACGATATTCAAAATTCAAAATATCAAGATGGAGATTGATCACTTGGATGGAATTAACCAAGCTGTAAGTTTTAGTTTATTGAATTTGATTAATTTTTTATCAACTAATGAAGTTGGTTAATATTTTTTTAATTTTTTTTGAATTAATTATGTAAATTTTGATTCTTTTGGTACAGGACATGAGTGATGTGGCTAATATTGATGTAACAATAGCAAATAATGCTATTGGGTTGCAGAACAATGATGGTGAGGGTGATAATTTTGGAAAGAAAAGAAAGGGTATATAAAAAAGATCAAAGGTATGGCTACACTTCACTGCATTTGATGATCCAGTTACTAGTTAGCAGAAAGCAAGATGTAATTATTGTGGAAAGGTGTTGTGTGCTGAACCTAGGAGAAATGGTACTTCTACCATGAATGGTCATATTGAATGTTGCTTGAAAAATCCTAATAATTTGAAAAATAATACACTGTTGAAGTATGTTAGTAAAGATGGAAGTAAGACAGTGATTGATTTAGGAACTTGGAAGTTTGATGAAGGTGCAGTGAAGAGAGCATTAGCTGAAATGTTAATTATTGATGAGGACTCCTTTAGCTTAGTTGAAAAATTAGGCTTTAGAAGGTTTTGTGAAGTAGCATTGCCACTAACTTTTAAAATTCCATCTAGGAGAACCATCACTAGACAATGTTATGACATCTATGTAGAACATAGAATTGCCTTGAAAAATTATTTCAAAGAATCAAATTTTAGAGTTTCATTAACCACTGACACTTGGACTAGCTTACAAAGAATCACTTATATGAGCTTGACTGCTCATTTCATTGATGCTAAGTGGAAGTTATATAAGAAAATACTGTGTTTCTGTCCTGTTGATAGCCATAAAGGAGATGAATTGGGAGATCTTCTTGTTAGATGTTTGAAGGATTGGGGGTTAGAGAAAATTTATGCATTAACTGCTGATAATGCATTAGCAAATGATGGACTTGTGAGGGTTTTAAAAGATGCTGTGAATAAATGGGGAATTGCTATTCTTGGTGGGAAAGACATTCACATGAGATATGCAACCCACATCATAAACTTGGTTGTTAGTGAGGGTACTAAAGAAAAAGAGATAAATAAATCTGTGATTGCAATTAGGGCTGCAGTTAAATATATTAGGCAAAGTCCTATGAGGTTAAATAGATTTAAGGAGGCTTGTGAGTGGGCAGAAATTGAATCTAAAAAGTTATTGTGTTTGGATGTCCCAACAAGGTAGAATTCACTTTATTTAATGCTGGACACTACTGAGAGGTTTAAGGAAGCTTTTGAGAGGTTACTCTTATTTTATTTATTTTTTTATTTTTTTTTTGTTTTTAATAGTTTTTAGTTAAAAATCTGAACTATTTATTTAATGGTTGCATTATTTTTTTTTTTTAAGATATGCAAGACAAGACCCACACATGAAGAATGAGTTGAATGATGGTCCTAATGCTCCTGGATTTCCTTCTTGCATAGATTGGGAAAATGTAAGAAGATTAATCAAATTTCTACATCATTTCTATGAGTTGATGGGAAAGGTTTCTGGAACTTTATATACTACCAGTAATTTATATTTTCCCGAACTTAGTGTGGTAATATATTTTCTTTTATAAGTTATATTTTATTTCAATTAAATTATAAGTTAGATTTTGCTGAATTATTTTAGTTGTAGGTTGATCATATACTTAAAAAATGGGAACGAGATGTGGATCTTTATGAAATTGCTGGTAAAATGAGAACAAAGTATACAAAATATTGGGGGGATCCAAGGGAGATGAATAAAAACATCTTCTTTGCAGTGGTGTTGGATCCAAGGTATAAGATGGATTATTTGGAGTATTTAATGTTGAAGGTGTATGGTCGTAAATCTGATGGTGAACTTGATGATAATGGGCCTCTTTATGTTGCCATGGTCAAACGTGAGATGAGAATATTGTTTGAAGAATACAAGAGGTTGAATTCCTCTACTGCGAAATCAAGTGACCCTCAATCATTTGATGAACAAGGAAGCAGCTCTACCTCTGCAACCAATATGCAAAGTGTGACAGATCCGAAAAATAGAGTGCAAACATTTGAAGTGAGGTCTGATTACAAGAAATTTAAAGCTGCCAATGGTAAAAGGGCAGAAAAAACAAAGTTGGAGAAGTACTTGGCAGAAGATCCTGAGGATGAGAATGAAAATATTGATGTTATTCAGTGGTGGAAGATGAATGAGCATAGATTTCCAGTGTTAGCAACCATGGCAAGAGATGTCTTAGCAGTTCCAATATTGACTGTTGCTTTTGAATCAGCATTCAGTACTGGAGGTCGAGTCCTTGATGCTTTTCGCTCGTCATTGACACCAAGAATGACACAAGCTCTCATTTGTGCACAAGATTGGTTGAGAGATAAAGCTGTTTCTAATATACAGGAGGAGGATTTGGACACACTGGACAGTTTAGAGAAAGGTAATATGTTGTATGTTTTATGTTTCTTTTAAATTCAATTATTTATTTACTTATGCAATTGAAAAAAGTTTAACCATGAATTTTTTTTTTAAATGTTTGTACAGAGTTTGATAAGATTCATTTGGATTCCACCATTCTTGAATAAATGGTGGATTTATAAATGGTAAGGTACAAGGTAAATTTTTAAATAATTTTAAATTATACTAACTTAATGTTGAGGTAAGCTTTTTCAGTTATTTCTTTTGTTTATTTATAATTTTTACTAATTAATTTTTATTTTTGCTAATTGTCGTAGATACAAGTGTACACGCATTTTTTTGTTAGCTTAGAACATGCTATGGGTTGTGGCCTGCACTGTGTATAACGCGTTTTTTTGTTATGTGGTATTGGGCCTATTGGCTAGACAAGTTTTTTTTTTTTTGGAAAATAGGTTTTTTTTTTTATAGGCAGGTTTCTTTTAGACAAAGACTTTCTTATGGACGTCTTTTGGACAGCTTTGAAGTATTGAGAGATGGCAATTGGACACTGGACAGAACGTGCAACTTGTGCTAAGGAAGAATGGTAATTTTCTGAATTTTAGTAATAGCTTGTGGTAATGTGATGCCATATAGGTATTTGATGAAATATATTATATTTTAATTCTAATTAGTATTCTGTTATTGGGTTTTTTTTTTCAATTGATTTTACTTATTTAATGTAGTTGCTATGTTATGCAGTTTAAAGAACTTTTATTAACTTGACAAAGACCATGAGCTACTTATGTCAAGCTGCAAATGCTTGCCAAGTATTAAAAAATCCTTGAGAGTACCCAATTAAGCCCATGAGTTGTTAATTTGATGGATAAACTTAGACTTAATGTGTGAATTGTCAATGAGCACCTGCTCAATTCATTTGTGCTATATGTGTTAAAAAGAATATGTTCATTCGATGGAATAGTTTAAGGTGTTGTCATATTGTTCTTTCCAGTTATGCCACCTTGAACTTGCTATGGTTATTGTGTCACGACTTAGATATAACCTATTAACCTCTGTTTAGTATTCTGGTTTTTTGTAGGCTCCTGGACCATTATGAAATGTTGATTTTCTGATGTTTTTTTCCTTGTTGACAATTGAGAGATATTTTATTTTTGCGTTTTTTGCAAATGAAGATGTTTCAACATGAATTGTGGCGATTGGCATTTTGTTGCTTGCACTATTGCATGATTATTGTAGAATATCATCTTATCTTTTATATAGTTGTATACTTTTTACTTAGTAGATGTTCTATTTTCATAGGCTCTCAACTTTGCATTTAAAGGTTACTTCTAAAGCTATTTTGGACGCTCAAAAGAGAGATGGTTGTGTGAAGTGGTTTGCTGAAAATGTGGCTTCAAGGAGTGCTGCTAGGGCAAGTACATCATTGTTACTATATCATTTGGATTGTGCACATACCAGGCTTGGCACTGATGTAATACAATGCTCAATTAATGGCCAATGACAATTCAAAGGGCTTTTGGATGTCACCATTGTTTCTGGGGTGTGTGCCTATCCCTTTGAGTCTTTGACACAGTTTGATGGCGAATGATTTTGTTTATTTTTTGGCTTATGAAGTGTAATAGTTTATTAACTTTGTTACTTTGGATATTTGGTTAAAATATCCAAATCATAAAATTAAAAGAAATGAATCACAACATATGTTGGATATTTGGGTTGAGTCACAAATCGTAAGGCCCAATCTCAAAAAAAAAAAAGAAAAAGCTAAGGGATTAAGGTTAAAATCAGTTAAAACCGAAACCGATGTTAATTGAACCGATTAATTTAGTAACCGAATTAAATAACCGAAATATTAATTGGTTCGATTTTTGATTGTTACTTTATAAAACAATCAACCGATTAAAACCGTCAATTTAGGTTCGATTCCAATCGAACTGAACTGATGTCCACCCCTAGGTGGGGGTGGGGAGGGGGTGGGGGAAGCAAGAATCAAATTCTTTTGGCCTTCCACTTCCAAGCCTTCAGTTTGTAAAATTGATCATTTATTTGCTTTG